GGGGCTATATAGGGATCCAGGTATACAAACGAGATCTACATTGAACCCTGAAGGCTATGCATATTAGCTACATTGGCCTATGTGGATTCTTAGGGTACCGGGGGGATCCTTAGGTTGGAAAATGATTTAGGAACCTTCCTCAGCCCATTCTAGCGGTAGAACATCCCCAGAAACAAGAAAAAGTGGATGTGGGTTGCATTCTTAGTTTTGCTGGCAAGAATTGGATCGTACTCCATGGCTTGGATTCAACAGCTGCGCCCAACCCACCTGAAATTCACTGGCGAACAGGCCTCGGGTACTGTAGCTGACTCTAGCTGCAGCTGAAGCACAAGTCAGGATTCTTCCGACTCTACCGAAACCCTGAGCTCTACTTCCTAAACCCAAGAAGCCTGAGCCCCCATCCCAAAACCCCAAGCCCTAATCCGTGGATCTCTATCCCCAGATTCGAAGCCCCGAAATCGTATGTTGAAAGCACCACACCCTAGATCCTACCTATAGAAAGCCAGTTACCCATAATCATAGGCAACTTTCTCTTCATTTCCTACTACTTTGGGTCAAAGTAGCTCATTATTATGGGTAACTAGGCTTTCTAGGTAAGCCCTGATCTCTTAGATGACAAGCCCTAAACCCTATAAATCCAATTATAGACCCTAAACTCTAACCCCAAACCAGGCAAACCTGGAGACTCTGCAGTGCCTGTGGCGCGCAGCGAAGGCCCTCCGCGGTCCTGCGGTGGATGCTAAAATTCTGTTGGGATATATGGAGGTTTACATGTTTACATATTCTAGGCGGTATTATCACACATAGAACAGGATCCGCTGCATCCCCTACTCAACAACACCCGTTTGGCATAAGTATGTGGGGATTGACGCGGTGATCTCAGATGGGGCGTTTGTCATGGGCTACCTGCGACTCAGGTAGCTTCGCTTAAAAGTCCTCACGCCCTGCGCTGCGCTGTTTGTTAAGCATCCTGCTTCTCAAGACGGGCTCGGTTTACAGCTGCATCCTCTACACTCCCGACCAAATAGGGGGACATCAGTATAGACATCAAAGTACTGTAATCCAGATTATAACTACCCCAAAAAGGTACCACTCATTTGGGAAACCCCCATACTCCAAAAGCTCTGAGCCCTTTGCATGCTGAAGCCCCCCGCCTCAAACCTGACATGCTAAGCCGTCATCCATGAGGCGGCGCGATCCGCAAAACGCGGGGAGAGCGGCTTCTACGAAACTTGGGTAGATTCAAGGGTATTGGTTGGGTACTGCCCTCACCCAGTAACAGTCTATATTCGGGGTCCTATTAAGGGCTATATATATCCATATTGTAATTAGTATCCAATTGCTACTGAAAGGGGCAGTACTCTAGGTATTGGTGTCTGGACTTCAGAGCTTAGAATTCAAGGTTTCGGGTCTAGGCTGTTAGGGTTATGTGCCCCGCTGTACCACATTGCCCAAAATTCTCCTTATCTGCCAAAATGTGCTCTATAGTCATGAGTGTCGTGCAGGATTGGTCCCTAGAGCGTACGCTGGGTACTGTAGAAGTCTGAATGATTTCTAATGCTGTGCTCTTGTCCATACTCCTGAAAGTATCATGCGCTCCAAAGCTCTCTTCTTCTTGAACAGCCCCCTACCATTCAGTCTTCATGAACATCCATCATCCGATTCCAACACACCAGGCCCCCCTTAACAAAATCCGTATATAGAAAAAGGCAGACACGCATATTTCCCCATTTCCCCTATTTGACCAATACCATCCTGGTATATCCCTACAGTAGAAGTTTGGCTTTGAAATCCCTCCCCAGCCTTGCCGAGGAGAGCTGCCTGTGGGACGGCCTGAACCTGCATCTGGGCCTCTGTCAGGAAGCACTGTTTGGCTTCAGGTTATATAGGGGTCATATAGTAAAAATCAAATAGAAAATGGAAACTAAACTCGTATTTAGTATAATGAGCTCATCCGACCTCACCCAAAAATGGTGACTTGTAGAAATGGTCCCATCAAAGCTTAATTCCAAATGGTGGATAGTATACCCGAAGCCCTAAACGCTAAATCCTAAAGCCTAAACCCAGTATTATTTGCTTGGCCCAGGAATGGCTGATGCAGGGTTGCTGAGGAGGCTGGGCCTTACGGCAGTGGTGACCAAGGACAGTGGTGAGTAGTAAGTGTACTACAGTCTAAACTCCTTAAAAGGTGGGTTATTTAGGGGATTATAGGGTTTAGGGTTTAGGGGCTATAGTCTCAACTCCTTACAGGGGGTTATATAGGCGACTATATATGGGAGCATGGGGTTATTAAGGGTGATACTGGGAGTTTAGATTATGGCTCAAGTAGGGTCACCCTTCTTGTGATGGTTTGCAAGGAGGAGCCAAGGGCGCCTTTGGGCATTGTAGGGATGCTGCTTGAAAATTTTAGGGTTTTAGGGTTTTCGGGTTTGGGGTTTAGGGTTTAGGGTAGAAGGTGGGGCTCAAATGACTCGGAAATGTAGGTTGAGCTGTGGAAGATGAAGAGTAATGTGACTGTGGGACATTGGGGTCGGGATCCAGAGACGATGATGGTTGGCAGAGTAGGAGTCATTCTAAGTAATGTCAATGAGCAGGAAACTAACGAGCACCATAGTACAAGGAACACAATTGTTTAGAAAGAGCAATAATTCTTGGCAATTAGTAACGACCCAACCAGTCCTCATGGAAGCCATAGAAAATGAAGTTCCTCTGGAGAGTCGGACTGGGACGGCGCGTGGAGCTTTGATCGGTACTTTGTTTTGTTAGATACTTTGCACGTACCGCTTTGTTTGCACCCAGGAGCGGACATGAGCACCAGGATTTTACAAAAGGGTTATATGTTCCCCTCCAAAAATAGTCTACAAGTGGCATACCCATTTTGAGGGAAGCCAGAGCCACATGTCAAACCCTAAACCCTAGATATTTTCTATATCTCCCTATATAACCTCTAAGTAGCCCCTATAGCCCCCTTTAGAGGTTCCACTTGTATGTTTCTGTGGCCTTTTAGGCCCCTGTTGACGCTAAGGCTGCATGTCCACTGCGCGAGGGTGCAGAGCTTTTGCCACATGTGGCGGGATCACAAGGACCTGCACCTACTTGTCTGAGTTGCTGTCACAGAACTTAAGCTAAGTTACGATTATAAGGGAATCATCGTATCCACTGTAGATGCATATCATGGTAACCTGGTTAAAGCTCATAGATGTTATGGTAAGCTAGTTTAAGTTCATTAATACTATGGTAGCCTAGTTTACGTTCAATTATTTTTTGTAATCTAGTGTAAGTTAATTCACATGATGTTCACAGGTTTAAGTTCATTAACAGCAGCTGAGTTGTCTGGCAGATCCCAGCCTGGCGTGATGGTGCTGCCATAGACCAGCATCAAGAAGTTCAGGCGCCCGCTGCATGGGAGACGAGAAGAAAAGGCGCCGCTGCTGCTGAATACAAGCCTTGTATAACCCTGCAGAACCCCATATAATCGTAGGATAACCTGCTGTAACCCCTATATAACCCCCTTTAAGTAGGGCCAAGTATATAGAAGTTACAGGGGGTCATATGGGGGATTACTGTACCAGCGTGAGTTGCTTCTGGTGAAGTAGTTATTGAAAGCCATCAGGCTTTTGTGGCAGCTCAGGATTGGGTTTATTATGTGCGTCTTTTAGGAACGGCTGTGGCGCTTTGAACTGTACCTTCAGGCCACCAATTCGCTGACCGTTAAGGGGTTGTTGATGTTGCTGGGCATTTTCATGAGCTACCGATTTGTTGCCCTTGTTTTTGAAACTTGCAGCCTGATTTTAAAACCTGCAGCGTCCGCATGCTGTTGCAGGCTCAGCTGGCGAGAGCCATACGCATGACACCAGCCATTCTTGAATGCAGTCGCATACGAATCCACTTGGCAGCTCGCAAAACCCTTGAAACAGCTACATGAGGCTCGTATGAGACGAACAGCTTTGCAGAAGACATTTCGCGAAAACTTGAGCATTTCCAATGAATGTCTAAGAACCGAAGCAGAGTCACTGCAGTACCTACGTAAACAGCCTTCCCAGAGCATCGTTCACAGCATTCCTGGTGAGCCTGTGGAACAGCCGCGTCCATTGTTTTGGGAGCTGCCTGGTGAAAGGACGAGCCGCGTCCAGCGCTCAGTTGGCTGCAAGTCCTTGCTTGGGCATCCATTCCTGTTTTCTTGCACTCGTAGGGTGTCCCAGTAAGATGGCTGTAGACTGCGGAATGTGCTTTGTTGGTGGCAGTTCCCAGCCCAGAACGTGAAACCCCCAAACTAAAACGCGGCACTCTCTTCAAACTAGGCACTCCTCCTAAAACAATTTTGGGGCAGAACATTGAAAACAAGCGCCCCCTTTCACGCTTCTTTGGTTCTGAGTGTTCTGGGGACCGACATAATCTTAAAACCTGTAAGTGGCTCCCGAAACACAAGCTAGATGGTCGCTTCGTCAAGATGAGTGCCACATTGCAGACTAAAACCTAAACCCCAAAGAGAAGTTTCCATTTTATTTTCCAGTATCCGTATATAACCCTATATTAAACCCGTAAATAGTACAACTGCCTGGAGTTTTTTGCAGGATCGCTTGTCCTGAGTGGCAGCGATGTACGCGGGCGGCTCAGAAACGGGAAAGGTGTTGGGGTTTAGGGTTTTAGGGGTTTAGGAGTTTAGGGTTTAGTGTGTTCGTGCGACGTCTGTGCAGGCCGTTGAGCGAGCAAGTTTGTTGTGAATTATAGAGGCCACTAATCCATCACAGCGTGAACAAGATATTACGGATCCCCATTTTTTCAAGATATTCAAGTGCAAACCCGATAACTGTTGGGATTTGCACGACGTGCCTGACTTTACGAAACTCCTGCACAGTTCTAGTGCCCAGCTCACTTCTGATTCTGCCACTTAGGCACCCCCCACACTGCCCCTCAAAAGAGGATCCAAGTTGGAGCAAGCCCAAAGAAGGGATCCCTAATCTCCTCGCCCTAGTGACACTTCCCAGCCCAAAATAAGAAATATTCCCTTAGCTATATACTTCAATCTCAGTACAGTAGCCTCCTAAACCTTCAGCCTACACTCCAAACCTTCAACCCTGGACGCCAACCTGCAAACCCTAAACCCTAAACCTTAAAACCCAAGGAGCACTTGTCATGGCTATATACCGCGCTTTGCCTTCTCCTCTTCTGTTTGTCATCCCACTATTGCTACTACAAGTAATCTGCCCTTTACGCTATAGAATTTTTGGGTCTATATTGGGGTCCTCCTCTTTAAAGAGGCTACCACATAGCAATGTAGATCAGCGCCATTTAACAATTATGGCTTAGGTGGACAACCCCCCCCACCCAGTAGTAGTGATTAAATTAGGGTCCTCCTATAGTCTTCTTATATCAATATTACAGGCTGGAGAGTCCACCCAAATTATGGCCATGGAGCCTTACTTGCCGGTGGCAGCTGTGCAGCCTTTGCTTCTGCCGCCTCCGGCGTCCAGTACCCAGCCGCTTCAGTGCCCACACGGCTTCTGGAATGCCCCCGGCTCCAAAGGCGGGCGTTTAGGGATTTTGTGGGGGAGGGCCTCGGAAATAGCGGTGACATGGAAGTTCAAGAAGGACCATGCGGATTTTACTCACGCCTTGTTTGGATTCCTTAGTCATGATATGATGGCGCTTTAACAACTGTAGTCGAGACAAACTCATGGGTCACCTTTGGGCAAAAGGGAGCACACTTCTCACACTCCCTGAATGGCTGGTAGTATGGAAGCACTTGTATCTGGACTCCACACTCTTGGTACAGATACCTTCCTTCCAAGAACCCTCTGTGACCAAACTCTCTGGTTTCGCGTATAGGGGTTTAGGTTTTAGGGGCTGGCGGGTCGGGGTTGAGCATGCAACCTAGCCATGTTTAGAGGGGGTGTCTCGACATGGGGGTGCCCGTTAGAACCCTAAGCGTCAAAAAAAAAACCTAAGAAACGAAAGAGGAGTGAATATTACTTAGTTTGGGCGGGGACAGTCGGGACCTCTCCTGAGATTCATTTGTATAAGAATATCATTCCTCCAATATCCAGTATCATCCTTATGACTTGGTCAATCCCCCCTACAGTAATAACCCGTAAATGTGGAGTTGATAGGAGCTTAATATACTCCCTTGTGATACCCATCACTGGGTGAGGGATTGACCCAACTTATGACGTCATCTATGCCCACCATGCAATTCTTGTGAAATCCGCGTAATACTCTTTTGCATATTCCTTCTACAGTGAGCCGTAGAGCAAAGTTCAAACCCTTCAGTAATCGTAAACTAGATCCCAAAGCTGCAGTTTCAAGCCCAGACTCCTATTCTGTGTTCTAACACTGAAGCTCGAACCCTTTGTCTTCAAACTCCAATCCCTGAATCCTGAAGACTTCGTCCCTAAACGAACCCCCGAAATTTTCAACCCAAAGCCTTAGGCCTAATGTAGGGGCCTGGCTTAGGGGTTGGGGTTTAGGGTTATATGAGCTATAGTCTAAAGTTATATAGGCGGCTTATGTACATTATAGGGGTTATTACGGGGGATACTCGGAGTTTAGACTACAGCTCATATGGGGCCCTAAATGGTTACCAAGATTATGGTCCCAGCTTCCTCGTATCATTGTCGCATAGGATGCCGCAGGTAGACCTCAAAATGATACTAGCAGTTATGTAGGCCCATAAGCCTATATATATATATATACATACCATAATCCCTGGTTCCATTTCCTTCTCCATTTCGTTGTTTATTTTGTCAATTAACCCTAAACCCTTAACCCTAAATCCTAAAGTCTCAACCCTAAACCCTGAACCCTAAAGTCCCAAAGCAGGTGACGGGGCCCTGGCGCCTTGGCCGGGCTCGGAGCTTTTCTGGCGCCAGATCTTGGCAGCTGCGCTGGGGAGCCCCTGGGCTCTGAGAAGTGGGCCATGGGGAAGTGGGGGGGGTTCAGGGTTTAGGGTTCAGGGTTTGGCGTGAGTCACCGTGCAGGCAGTGATGATTAGGTGTCAACGATTCTTCAAGTGCACAGCTGCATGCGAGGTGCTGCCATGGCCTGACTGTAGAGGGCCATCTAACACCAACACCCACCCCACGCCGTCTGAGGCGGC